GGGAGGGAGAGAAAGCAGCTCAGCCGTTCCCTTGGGGAGTTTCCCTCTACATGTATGTATAATAACGAAGGCAGGCAAGGCACGTAACGCAGGCACGCAGGGCTGGATTTCAGGACCCTGGACAGAGGCAGAGGCGGGCGCGGTTGTGGCGCCGGCGGTGGCTCGATGTGATCGCCTTATTATAGGCAGGCCGATCTTCTTCCCCCGGCCTCTTTTTTTTCCCCTCCTGCAGCGTTGCGAGACCCATTGCTTTCGGTCCCCGAAGAACCCGGCTGCAGACCACGAAAGCCTTGGCCCCGTAAAGCTGCCCCCCTTTTAAGATGTCACAAGGCTCTTTGTTGGTTTTGTTGCAACAGGCGATCCTCCGGGCCGTTCTTCTCTAAAGAACCCAGGAGTGCCGGATGCTACGCCCCGATCCCCACTCCCGATGTTGGCCTCCTTCCAGGGAACCGTGGAGCCTAGCTCACCGCCATCCCTCCCCCTCTCCCCTCCCTGCCTTTTAACTCACTCATAATCCCCTCCTTTCGCTACAAACCACTCAAAATGGCTTTCTCGCTAGGTCCCCTTGGACCTTTACCGTGTAATGATATCCACTCTAAATAATTAACCAGAAAACGAAAAGAGCTGGGCACAAAGGCCGAGCCCAAGAGAAGACCACTTTGGGATTATCCCCTCCACGCGCGCAGCCACGGTTCTCTACAAATCGGACTGACAGATTTTTTCTCTTGCTTGGACAGTCCCATTTATCTCCTGACAAATTGGCTAGAAGTGCCTCAGGATCCAGAAGCAGGCATTAACCACCAAGAAAGGAAAAGGAAGAATACGGTCCTCCTGTGCAAGGCAGCATGCCCGGGGGCGGTTGTTTTCTACAGCTGCAAATGGGATGACAGCTTTTGAACCCATGACTTCTGATCTCCGCCTTGTCATCCCTTTAGTCATGAAATGGTTAGGTGGTTGGACTGGGATGTCAAAGATGCAGATTCCAGGCCCAATGGAGCCATGAAACTCCCTGCTCTTGGGTTACTCTCTCTCTCTCTCTCTCTCTCTCTGACTTAACTCACAGGATTGTTGTGAGGATAATGTAAGGCAGAAGGAAGCTGTGCATGCAGCCTTGAATTCACTGGCAGAAAAGCAGGTTGTGAATGTAACTAGTAAGCAAATCTTTAGCATATAAAAATAAACAAAAAACATAATTGAAAAGATATACCCCCCTATTACTTTCATATACCTGAAAGAAAAACATAAAAGAAGCATAGACACTGACATGATTTGGCCCCTT